TGTTGACATGTTCATAGTCCTTTAGCCAAAAAATGTCAAAATCATAGATGTTACAAAATTCGGAATTTTCAAGAGTTTTTAAAAAATACATGATGTTTAGAATGTTGTGTCCTATGTTTGTACAAAATCCTCAGTTGGCTGTGGGGAGGCACGCTGTAGTCAAACCTAGCTGTACTCCCGCAGAATTGGAATATTTACATGGGGCAAAGACTACAAAGAGACCATAGCTCCATTCAGAATTGGCTACCACATATTTCTCACAAAAGCTCTCCCCACCTGGTGTGGAGATTTTATATTTTCAGATGAAAAATTAAGATACTGCTGAACGTAGCTCCAGGGCATGTCAGGGAAGCAGCTATAAAGGGGGTTTTTGGTGCTTCATCATTTTAGAACACAGCCGAAGTTTTGCCAGAGTCTTACCGTTTAATGACACGCGCGTGAACAGCAGGCATATGGAAGGGTCAGTCTGGATACTCGGGCAGTATGTGGAAGAATTAAAGAAATCACATGAATGGGCAGGAACATCATTTTATTCCAAGTGTTTGCTATTTTATTTTTCTCGTTAGTTTTATTCTTAGTTAGAAAAGAAAATCTCTCTCTGGTTTCCACGTTGAGTTGGGTTGGACACATGTTCACAGGAAGCAGGCAGCATGGCAGTGCGCGGGGGCGGGGGGTTCATTATCAGACACGAATTAGACAAGAGGCTCAAAGTGAGCTGAAGAATTGATCATATCGGTCACCATTGCCCTTTCCTTTAGAACATATGGATGCAGTTAGAGGTTGCCTTTATGTTTGATAAAATCAAAGGCCGATCCAATTGATTTTCCATAATGGGCTATTTCAAAGTAATGAATTAACTGAACTAATGTTTTCTCACAAAATAAATAATTCCCCAAGAAAATAGATCTTTATTCTTAAATCCTCTTCCTCCCTTCTCAACTAATTAGACGTCGCTGGTCAAAGGAAGTGAAGAAATTCAGCATTAGCCTGATTATGTCATGAATGTAAAATGAGGTGGGCAAATAATGGGCTCTATAGTCTTCCGAACAAGTTAAATAAGTCCGTAATAGCCCACCAGTTGTGTAAACACTATTTCACTATTCTTGTAAAAGAAATATTGACTTACTTGCTAGCTAAAATTATCCCAGCCTGCTTCGGCTAAGCTTGTTAGTAATTCTCGTGGCACATGTGAGTGTTCTGAGTTGTGGACTTCCAATGAAGATTAAAGAATTGGGGAAACGTTCGTTTAACAAACCCAGAAAGCAGGACATGTTCCAGACTATACCTCACTGGCATCAAGGAGCTTGAAATTAAGGGGCTTTTTAAAACAAAAACAAAAACAAAAAAAAAAAAACAGGAGAGGGACTTCCATTCTAGCATGAGATATTCCATCACTCAGTAGCTTCTTAATACTGACATACTTTCCAAAATCATTTAAAAAAATGAAAAACATCAAACAAAAATTATCAAATGAGTCTAGCTTCACCCTGCTAACCTTATTATCATATTGAAAGAGGGGTGCCTTCCTCTGACTCCAATATGTAACTAGTTGTTCAGAGGAACCAGAAAAGAAATATATGCATATATGCATATATTATAATGTATTATATTATTGTTGTTATCATTATCAATACATTATTATACTATATTAATATTGCTATAATATAAAGTTCTAATAAATCCAAGGTTCTATCCAGGTTCTAAAGTTACGAGGAAAAAGGTACAGTACTTAATAGCAGAGGGCAAAGATTCAGGATAGAATTTTGGCTCCCACTCCCCAACATCCTGGCCACCATTGGGAAAAATCCTCACATTTCCCATTCTTAAGTGTCAAATGAGGACGACAACCTCTCTCCCCACAGCCTAGTAAGTGCCTGTCACTATTAGGGCTGAGTCAATGTTATGGGTCATTATCAGTTACTATGACACTCTTATAACATAGGTGGTATTTTTTAGAAAGCAAATCATTGTCCACACGTCTTACTGAAACTCTTTTGTTGTGGTGGGGAGGGGGTAAGTTAGCTGTATTTTCTTCCTTACTGGTGAAGCATAAGTAATTAACATACATTCATTAAAGAAACAAAATCCTATCAGCTGTAGCATTCTTATCTTCCAACCACATGGTCCTCTTTTCCAGGGTTGTCAAGAACTTGAAGAAACATTAGCCCCTTGGTGGTCCCCATGCTTTCAAGCTTCCCACTGAGCTGGATTGAAAATTGACTGTGGATGCGTTCTCACTCACTGGGTCAAGCAATTAGACAAAACACTGTGTTCATCCACTTGGGGGTGGATGATAGGGAGCCAATGGCTTTAGATCCAGGTGTCTAGAAGGTAACCTTGGGAATTTGCTTCTCTCCTTGCTGATGGTAATGCTCTGTTTATTACCTATGAGATTTCTCCCTAAGGCAGAAGCAGCACCTTCCCTGAACTTGGAGGTTCTCGTCCTAGAGTGTATGAGGTTACCATGAGGATGCTCTGATTCCAGGAACCATAACAATGCTCCAGACAGACCCACGCCATTCTCCTGAAGTCACATTACCATCCCAGGACAAGAAGGCGGAACCATAAGGCCAGCCGATACGGTTTAGGAGGCAGCTCCCAAAGGAGAATTATGGAGTAATCTTACCAAAGGAAGATAAATGTTGAATATGTAAAATGAAGGAAGGGAGAAATGGCGGGAGAGGGGAAAAGAGGGAGGGAGGGAGAGAGAAGAAGAGAAAAAGAAAGATAGAAGGAAGAGGTAGTTGATGTATGTTCCCCCTGCTCCATTTGCTACATCTGTCTTCTCTGTTTCTCCCAATCAGAAACCTTCCTGCCCCACCTGCATTTGCTGACACATCCCTCTTCCCCCAAAAGAGGAAATCACTGCCAGTGTGAAGATTTGGTGTAGGCCAAGTTCCAGACACTGTAACATGTAGGAATACTCAAAAAACGGTAAATAATATCCTCTTTGCTGGGGGCTGGGAAGGTAGCTGAGAGTTGGCTCATTTGGGGTCTGTGATGAAGCAAGTTGAAACTGGAAGGATATAGATTCACAGGCAGTTCTGCCTGATCCGGTCCACAACGACAAGGCTCAACTCCTTTGGGTAACGTTGACATCAACAAAGGGCGCCGTTTGGTGTTTTTTAATGGAGAGTGGGCACAGCCGTTTCTGCACACGGATGTTGATGAATCAGTAGTCCCTTGGTTAAACAAAACATTTGTTTGTTCAAGACAACCCTGAGGAAAACCACGCTGACCATCACTGTTGGAATTTGTATCCAGAGTATGTTAGTACTTGAGATGCGCCATGCGTGAGCAAGGATAACTTAGCCCTAGAAGGCTGCAGACTTCCCAGTTGTCTCCTGATATCTGTGGACGATTCACAGAGAGAATAAGTCTCTGAATCTATTTGTGAAACCATCAGGAGCTAGATTTCTTTTTTTTTTTAATGGAAGGAAGATGGGCGATGACAAGTTTGGAGGGAATGGCTGAGAGAGTCAGAACAAACAAACAAACAAAAACTGTGAGAATGGACAGCGGACAGGCGTGATGGATATTTTAGGAACTGAGGAGATGAGGGAAAAGAACAAAACAGGGCAATGCATTGATTTTCCAGAAGCCAAGACTAGCACGTGGCATGGCCCTCATTAGTATTAGCTCTTTCCAGATCCTGAGCCTTCATTTGATGTCTCATTATTTGATAAATGAGAAAGGTGAGAAAGAACATGCCTATGATCTCTTTCTCCTTCTCCCCCCATCTCTGCATCTGTGCAGCAGTCTGTCTGCCCCCCCCACTCTTATCAAGGAGAAACACAAACTTACAGATAACTGAACTCACCCAAGAAAAGTCCGTGCCAGACGACAGGTTCAAATAAAAGAATATATACATATATATGCATATCAGGTGAATATATATTCTTATCTATGTATCTATCAGGGGAATGAATGGGCAAGTTTGGCAATCACTCTAAATCTGTTAAACGTACCCCATGCATTAAAAAAAAAAGGTCTTCCTGCTTATAAAGTTCAATTTGTAGAATAAATCCCATTGGACACAGGCTAGGAAGCAAATTAGGTGGCCTTCAAAGTGGCGAGGGTTCCCTGCCCTCCTGTGGTCCAGAGTGAAAACTCCATTGTTGAGAGCTGGCATGGTAAGTAGGCTTGGCCTGACATCTACGGCTGTTCACTCAGGTGCGAGAGAGGTCAGCTTTTACCCCACTGAGGGTTAGTCTAGGAGAAAAAAGAAAGAAAAAGAAAAGAAAGAGAAAAGGAAAGGGGGAAGGGGGAGGAGAAAGAATCTGGAATCTTCCACAAAATGAACAGCCTGGGTCTGTTCAGCCTCCCTTCTAATATTTGAGGCCATTGCCGTGAAAATATCGCCCCCACCCCCAGGCCGCTGTCTTTTAAAAAGTCACTTTGGCCGGCTTCCCTGTGCCGGGATGAATTGGGAAAACCCTGGAGTGCCGACTTAGTCGTTTTATTTGTTTAGCGATGTCTTCAAGGCTTTGATTTTGAAACAAGAGCGAGCCAGACAGCGCCTTGACGGGACGATCAAAAAGGCCACTCATCTTCCTGGGGGGAGTCTTGCTCTCGTTCCTTGATGACTATCTTTCTGATCAGATTTTGGTCTTTTTTCAAAGCACTGCGTGCATCCCTCCAGTTATCTGACCTGGACTTGGGAAGCCTGCGTTATCTATCTTTCGGTCCCTCAGTGTCTGCTTATGTTGTTCTGAAACAGGTCCCCTCAGTTCTCAGCTCTCGGTTGCGGGTACCCAAGAACTGTAGAGGGTGGGTGCAGGTGGGGGTCCCCGGCCCGGTCTGTGACTCTGAGTGCTGGAACCCACTCCTCGGAAGCGTAGTAGTTGGAGCGCCCAGCACTCGTCAATACTTTGGGCTGCCAGCCGCGGCGCAGCCGGGTCCAGGGAAAGGAGAGGGGGTGGGAGGGAGGAGGGAAAGCGAGGCCGGGCTCAGGGGGTGCCTGGAAAGCTGGGCTGCGCTGACGTCACTGGGCGCGCAATTTGGCTGGAGCGCTTTAAAAAAGGAGCGTGCGAGCGGAGATGCTGCTGCACACAGCTCAGACCGCCTGCAGCAGCAGCAACGCTCACCGCCACTGCGGCGACTGCAGCGAGGGGGGCTCCCGAGGCTGGTGTGGCCACAGCGCGCGGCACGGTCCCTACGGAGCTACTACCCGGCACACGCCCGCCTGGCTGCAGACGCCCGCTGAGCTGCAGAAGCCACTGGGGTTGCAGACGCCCGGTGAACTGCAGAAGCCCGTGGAGAGGCGCCCGGAGCGTCTAGGTCTGCATCAGCCCCGGCTCTGCCCTCTACAGGCTTCCGGCTCGCAGCTCTCAGCCTCGGGCACCATGGACACCTCCCGCGTCCGCAGCATGCTCCTGTCCTTGCCCGCGCTGCTGCAGCTGGTAGCCGCCGGCAGCCAGCCGAGGCCGGACACGATGCCGCGGGGTTGCCCGTCACACTGTCAGTGTGACCTGGATGGCAGGATGCTGCTCAAGGTAGATTGCTCGGACCTGGGGCTCACGGAGCTGCCCTCCAACCTCAGCGTCTTCACCTCGTACCTGTAAGTGTACCCCAGCCTCTCTGCGCAAAGGGGACTTGGGGGAATGGGGGGAACCAAGGCTGGCGTTTCCGGGCGCACGCCTGCTCTGAAGGGGCCGAGTGAGTTTGCCAAGGGCATCCTGACCGGACCTGTTCCGGCCTCCAGAGAAAAGCACGTGTCTCTGACAGAGCCTCTCTCCTGGCTTTCTGAACCCCAGGAGAAGCCGCTGGAAGCGCACCCGGGTCAAAAACTGGTGCACAAGTAGCTTCCCATTGCAGCACCTGGCAGGTCGCAGGACCAGTCCCTCCTAATGTAGGCATTCGTGTGCAAACTGAGAGGTTTGTGCTCAGGAAACCTGGAAACCAAGGGCAGGCTGCCCTACTGACTGCTCACAGCCGAGACCTCTGCATCAGGGCTGTAAAACTTTCCCTGCAAGAGAAACCCAACTTCTCCAAACCCGGGGGAGGGGGGAGGGGGGGTGCTCCTGCTCTGCATCCCCGCACCAACGTGTGATGTAACCTTTTTCTTTTCTTCTTTTTTCTTTTCTTTTTTTTTTTTTTTTTTAAACAAAGTGATTAAAATGTGGCAACCACAAACCCCGATTAGAGCTGCCAGAACGTTATCTTTACCTTTGGCTGGCCGAACCGCCCTTTGAAGTGCCGGCGGCCACATTGTAATCTTTAACCATCTCCTCCCCCGCGGCAGCAAAGGGAAGAGGGCTGAAGGCAGCCGGGCTGGTAAACAGGGGCGCCTCAGACATCCAAAGGGGGTCCTGGAGCTATCTATCAGCCCTTGGAGATTCTACCAGTTTTTCTAGCCCCTGCTACTGCGTCCAAATCCCCGATCATGGAAACAAGGCTTAGACTCCTTTATAAGGTGGTCTCTGAGAAGTCCAGGCAGGAGGGTAACAGGTGGTGGGGTAGATGAGGTGACTCAGAAGAAACCCAGGTCTGTGGGACCAAGATAAGTAAGTACTCCTCCCAACTCTCCCCTTCTAATCTGAAGCTCTGTTCCTTGGGGCCCAGAGACCAGAGGCCAAGGCTACTTTGGGGGTAACGCTATCTCTTACACTACGAGGTGAAATTTGTGGGCTTTAATTTTTTTTTTTTTTAAATCAAGACATTTCGCTGAGCCCATCCCAAATCCTGTATTGCCAGTTTCGGCTTTCTCTGATGTACCTTGGCAGGGGCTGACTGAAATGTTTGTGAGTTCGTTTTTCCCTCTTGTTAGTCATTTGGAGGAAAGAAACACGAGGCTTGCACAATGTTCACCCCCCCCCCCCCCGTTAGGCACCGAGTGCTTTTCTGGAGACAATGAACGACAGAAAATATTGTTCAACCTGTTTTGATACTGCGTCTCAAGAAAAAGACCAGCCTCCTAGGTTTCCGTTTTTGGTGCATAGCAGACACCTCTGTGTTTCAGGAAACTGTTCGGGTCGTTTTTCTTCACCTGGGTAGGATATAAAATGCCCCCTCCACCCCCCCACCCCCCCATCCCGCTCCCGACAGATTTTCCTTCAATTGAACTCACTACTCCGTAGTGATGTGTATACACACACACACACACACACACACACACACACACACACACGTGGGATGGACTTCTGCTCTAGGAAACAATCATTCTCTCATAATTTACTTTTCCTTCCGAACAGCTGGTTTACCACAGAATTCAGCATGCTTCCCTTCCCCCAGCTTTCCTAGTTTAGCCGCTGCCCTCAGTGATTTGAGGATAATATGTTCTCCAGTATAGCTCGTTTCTGAGGTTAATTTGGAGATTGTTTTTTAGAGACTAGACTATTCTTCCCCCCCCACCCCGCCCCTAAGGAAATTGGGTGATAGGCATGTGCAATGAGCACCCCCTCATACACATTTCAAGTATATGCGTATTGAAAAACAAGCATCCATGATAAAATATGCAAACAAGTTGATAAAATGTCGGGTTACTGTTTTTCTCCCACTTGAAGGAATGAACATTTGTTGGGCTTATGTTACCAAAAGCCTAAAAATCTTTTTTATGCTATTTCCCATATACTTCCAATGTATTTAATTACCTCCTTCTCGTCTCAGAGTGACAGCTACCTACTGCCCTCTGTCCCTCACTATAGACAACCTCTGTGAGTCAGGATGCTATTAGGGAGACTGCTGTCATTGTTCTCTTGTGCTTTGTGTCGACATTCTGTGCCCTGATGTAAGGAAAAGGGCTGTCTGTGCCTTCTGAAACATTTAACTCATAGTGTCAGTAAACAGTGGTAGGTAGACCGGTCTCTCACCTTGTGTTTCTGAAGAGGTGAGTACTGAACGTAGCAAGCCGTCCTAACTGTGAAGAACCTGCCTGGTCTTCTTGATTTCTTTTTTTCTTCTTCTGGGCACAAAATGCCAGCAGCGGCCGCATGCTCTTCACCCTGGATTGGAGATTGGGGTTTTCTGTTGGACAACTAAAGGGTCTTCTGTACAGACTTAGGAGTAAATGATGCCCTCTTTTGGTTCCCCCTAGTATTACCTGAACATTTCTGAGTTAGCTGTGGATTCCTAATCCAGTGGTTCTTAATCTTCCTCATGGCGTGGCGACCTCCCCCCCCGAACCATAAAATTATTTTCATTGTTACCTCATAACTGTAACTTACTACTTTTAGGAACCGTAATGTAAATACTTTTGGAGATAAGAGGTTTATTAACAGGGTCGTGACCTGTTCAGAGGCACTGTAAAAGGGGTATTTTTTATTTATTGGTATTCAAGTAAATAAGCGTGTGATTTCTTGATTTTTTTTGTTTTAAAAATTAAATTTTTGAAATATTTGAACGGGAGTGTTAAAATAATGATCTCACTGCCCCCTGGTACACAATAGTAATTAAGTGACCAAGATATTTAGGTGGCGTGGAAGACTGTCTCTTACTGTTTGCAGTGCGGTATCACCATTTATTTAGTCAACATGTTATCTCCCAGCAAAGAACAAGTGTTTTGTTTCCTTCAAACAGATTGGCTGGCAAGTTCCAGCTATAAACATTTGCCAGCTAGATTGGCCATAATCTGATAGTTGACAAAAAAAAAAAAATCCATACAGGTAAAAGTTTCCTAGCCGTCTTTATACAAGGCACAAGTGGTTTATGCACCGTTTTATGACCTCCCTTCCCAGAGAATGTAAATCCTAAGGCAGCCTCTACCATCACACTAAGTCTGCATTCCCAGTCGCTGGACCACTAAACATCACTGGAAACTGAACATTTGTCCTTCGGCTCCTCTTTCTCTTTCCCTCTTCTCCATCGACCTGCTCACCCCCTCATTCACTCCCATTTGCTTAAGGTTCACTCTGCAGAAAATAAGACACCTGGAGAAACTAAAACATAAAGTAGACAATAATTGTATACAATGCTTAGTTCATCTCATCGGTGATCGGTCAGAAGCAAAGTGGTCCAAGCTAGCATCTCATCTTCTTGTAGCGAGTCATTTCAGAACATCGAATGTGGCAGTTTTTCGAGCAGGGTCATAAAAGTAAACTTCAGCATGCTAGTTTACGTATCCTTCATCTAGTTACTGTGGCACCCAGGTAGAAAGCGAAGGCTTGGTAAACAGCTTGCTATAGTTAGCAGTCTTTCTTCTCTAGTCCCCAGTAGCTCTTACACTTTTAAATGAAAGCTAACCCCTTCCTTAGTTGATGCTGAACAGGTGAGCATGCTGCCCACTAGCAAATGTATACTGTAGGAGCAAAATGAGTCAAGAGAACATTTATGTTTTATGCAGCTTGGTTGCTTAAATCTATGTATGATTAATAAAACTGGTTTACTAAGAGCTAATCAGAAAATCTCAACTATATCGTGTATAACTCTAGATTTTTTACATGGCTGAACACTTAAGATACAATTTCAAAATGAAAGAAAAAGTTTCAGAATCTTCTTCAAAAAATTGCATGATGTGTCTCTGGTTCTGCTCAGATAAAGACAAAGATTTTTTTTAAGCAAAAGAAAATGTTTGTCCTTTAGAAATGGTTCCAAAGCGGTTTCAGGTGTGTCTTTCAATTTAGATCAAATGCAAAGTGCATACTGTTTGCAGTGGCACATGCAAGGATTTACATTTGTCTAAAGGAGAGTAGCCATACCTTCCCTGCATTGTGATGAAGTTCTCTCTTTCTCAAGATCGGGAGCTGTGAATCCAGGAGAGATTTTGTTATGGCAGCAGCTATGGATGCTAAGTGACGGGATTAATCTAAATAGTTTTTAAATGGCAAGTTATGAAACAATTGTTTAACACAAATTCAGAACAAATAGCTTACAGATCGTGTCCAGTATGGATGTGACAGAGTTGGTGAAGCCAGTGTGTATATAGACTAGCGAGATCTTCAGGGCTTTGCCTGCTGGCTGGATTTTCTGCTAAGTAAAGGCTGCTAAAGATGTAGCCATATTAGGAGACATGAATGAAGAAATAAGGCCCCAGTGGCAACAGTCACCCTGGAATATGCCTAAGGACATTTAAAAACACAAAATTTGTCTATGACGTCTCATAACTCAGTTTTTAATTTGAGCTAGCTGATCGTTTTTTATGAAAATAACATTGAGCAAGCAATCCCATAAAAGCTTCAACATTAAATATGTTTCAGTATATTTAGCTTTGAGCTGATACCGAATTTTGATTTACCTTAATAAAATACTTCATATTCTATCAAGCTGAAGTATTTGAATAATTCTAACAATAAATTTAAATATACTTGCAGTTAGCCTAAATCACATGCCATAGTACATAAATAAAAAACTACAGTAAGCCCTACCTTGAACAACTTTGTTAAGTTTTATTTTGTTCCAATATTCACATAAATTTAGAAAAAATCTAAGTGGCATGTTTCCATGTAAACACTCCTCCTATTGATATTTTTGATAAACGGAAGCCTTCACAAGCAGGCAAATTCCTCCAGTATTCAATTTCCTCGCAGCCACTGCACTGTTTTCCCTGTAGAGCCTTGTTTGGTAGCAGAGAGACGTGACGCACACAAGCACTAAAGCCACACTGGCGAATTTCAGGGGAACGAA